ATCCAAGAAATTCTAAAAATAGATGAATCGGAATATATTTATCCTGATTACGTATGGTTTAGAAATTATACCTGATAACTAGCTGGTGGGTTCAATTTATTAGTTAATATCTTACATAATATATGAAAATTATAGCTTTTGCGTAACTTGATAAAATTCCATAAATATCTAATTTTATAGTCTTATCAGTTTTACGAGTCTTATCAGTTTCATAAAATGGACTTTTTATTGTCGAGGATGGCCGGGTATCTCTATTAAAAAAATTGTTGTGCTGTATTCTGTCCTTTGCTTTTTAAAAATAGTGTCATATGATGAAATTGAATAAGTTTATTGTTGTCAATTGTGATTTCGATATTTTTAAAATAGCGAAATCTTTTTTTAAAATTTAGTTTCTAGAAATAGTAGAGTTAGCATATTTTCCTGATAACCACAAAGTTCTTTAAATGAAAACATTTAATTTCCAAAAAAAATTGAAAAAAACATTTAAATTAAACAATTAATTTAATTCTTCATGCTTTTGTAAGAATAAAATTCGCTTGATTCATATAACAAGAACAAATATGTCCATCACGTACCGATTTTGTAGGGAAAAAGACGTTAAGCTCTTTAGAATTCTTTTTTTTTTTATAACCGTCGTTGAGCAACAGACCCAATTTCTGGGTTTGAGATTACTATATGTTCAACTCCATAGCCTTGTAATTTTGAACCCAATCCAGAAGACAAGGGAACTCCTGGATCAAGTATTGGGAGAAATTTGCTTTCCTGGAGGACTTTTTAATGAAACTAACCCTCATTTGCGTTACATGGAGATCAAGACCACGAAAACCTCTCACGGTTAGCCTGACTGCAAAAGGATTCTAACCTATAATCCGTCTACTACTGAGAATATTTCGCGTCAGCACTGTCGTCGGTGCAAACCGGATGCGAGTTCGTATCGACCAGCCATAGCTGGGATTCTAACCTGGTTCACCTCATTGGAAGGCGAACGCTCTATCCCCTGAGCCATCCCGACTCCTTTAGAATTTTTGTATATTCCACTTGTTTATGCATTTAAAGCCTCGAAACTTCGGGAAGGTAGATAAAGTTTTTGCCACCAAGATCGCTAAAATGGTCGCTACGTTGGTGAGAGCCCCACTGTTAAGGAGAGCGTATTACCTTTACCTGTAAAATTAGTTAAATGGAAGTTCAGAAAGGACCACCTAAAAATTACATTTCAACCGAATGCTCACTATATCCCAGATTCATTATAGCGGGGTTCGACTGTGTATTTATTACACTTTTTAATAAATACTAACATTTAATGCATTGTTTAATCACACTTTTAATAAACATGTACACAATCCAGTCTTAACTACTGTCGTGCAAATGAATTTATTGAATTTCAAATGGAACTTATTTTATTTATGATCATAATGTTGCCATCGTACTCTTTGTTATTCTTAGATGCTTTCGTGGAATTAATTGCGTTTCAACATTATTTAGAATCTATTGTTCCGCTAAAATCAATTATGAATTGAAGCAATGAAATCCATTTCGAAACCCCAGCTTTTAATTATAAATAATTGTCTTGGAAATAAGTGGGAGCAAGAGTTTAATTGGTAAAAAAAAAAGCATTTAAACGTAGAAGATATAACTAGGTCTTAACTCATTGTGCAAATAGATGACTATATTTTAATGAATGATTATATCATTCCGAAATTTAAAGAATCGTTCTTTATTAATTTTGTAATGTAGTTCGTACATTATAGAAAATAAATAGAATTTTTTTTTGTGTATTATACTTTGTGTATTATAGAAACTTTTTAATTTAAATCTGATCACTTTTATGCATATGGCTTGATTATATGCTTGATTTTATGCATGGGACTTGTGCTGAAACTATATGGATTATATAACTATTGTGCTTGGACTATATGTGCTGAAACTTATATCACACTTGGCGGGGAGGGAGGGTTCGTAATATCGTAACAGTTTGTGACAAGGGAAAGGAAGAGGATATAACAAGAGGTGTAATATCACACATTTTATTTTATATTTTGTAAACGTCTTTGAACAGCCGACCCATTATTATGGGTTTAAGACTATTAATGTTCAACTTCGTAGCCTTGAAATTTTGAACCCAATCCAGAAGACAAGGGAACTCCTGGATCGAGTATTGGGAGAAATTTGCCTTCATGGAGGACTTTTTGAGGGAGCTAACCAACACCTCCTAGAAGTAGAAAGGCCTCAGCACGGATCAATTTAGCAGTCCGTTGTGATGCAGTTGACTGCGCAGTAGACGAAAAATAAGAAAGAAGTCATTACGTTAGGAGTACTAAACTGCGCAGTGGTTGAAAATACAAAATATGTCATTACGTTTGGACTTTTAAGGGATACTTATGGTAACCCGTGCTGAGGCCTGTTCTTTCTAGGAGTTGTTGAGCTAACCCGCATTTGCGTTACATGGAGAGGAAGATCATGAGAACCTCCCATGGTTAGCCTGCCGGTAAGGGGACTCTAACCCATGATCCATCAACTGAGGATATTTCACGTAGGCACTGCGGTCGTTGCAAGCCGGATGCGGAATTCGTATCGACCTGGGATTCGAACCCAGTTCGCCGCATTGGAAGGCGAACGCTCTATCCCCTGAGCCATCACGGCTCAATATCACGCATTTTAGTCATAATAAAAAAAAACAATAGAAATCAGCTCATTTATCGTTACTTGTTTTTCCATTTTCTCATCTTTTTGATCAAAATTAGAGTCAAACATAATTATTGTCACGCTCACAATTATCATTAAAACACATAATTCAATTAAAGTTTCGTTAAATAGAAAAAAGTTAATTTAGTTACAGTTTAACTACAATTAACTTCAAAATTTTAAGTTAGTACAAATTTAAGTTGCAGGATATTTGTTCTCTGTTTGATATCCGTTCCCGGCTCAGACTGACCACAATGATGACGTAAAATATTCTCAGTGACGTGAAATATCCAAAAATCCTTTTGGCGACGGTCTAACCGTGGGAGGTCTTCGTGGTTTTCCTATCCATGTAACGCAAATCTGTGTTAGTTCCATCAAATAGTCCTCCACGAAAACTAGTTTGTCTCAATGCCTAATTCGGGCGCTTCCTTGTCTTCTGGGTTGGGTTCAAAATTACAAAGATCCGGAGTGAAACATTGATAGACTTGAATCCAAAAATAAATAGGTTGCCGATTTAATGCCGGTTATGAAATAAGATGTTAGCCAGCGACATTCGCACTAAAAATATTTGACTCAGGTTGAAGGTTGAGGTTAGAATATACATTTTTCATACGAAATAGATATTGATATAAATATTGTGTACGTGAGACAGGAGATAATTCCTAAATTATTTTTCAAAACAGGTGTCGTCATCAACTCTTTAACCACCAAGCTACCAAAATATTTGGCGTCGTTTTAACGGAAAGAAACAAAAAAAAGTATTCCAGCGTTCTAAAATAAATAGTATCTCACGCTGAGAAAGAGAATTTACGAACTGAAGTCAGATTATTTTTAGAAACTCAAGTGATCTTCTGAAGTTATTTCAAGTTCTTTGTTGAAAAAAAAAAGCAGCAACCAGTTTCGTTTTGGCAATTATATATTTTAACATTCTACAGTATGTAGGCGTAATAAACAGTGCAATGTTTGATTTAGTTCGGCAGCTGCGTGAAGTATATTCTACATAAAAAAATTTAATACATAAGATTTAAACTAATTAAATAAAAAGATTGAATTGAAAAATTGTTAGTATGGTGTTTAGTGGAAGGTTCATTCACTCCTTGCGCTCAAAAAAGAGATTGCAAAATTATCCTAAATTTTTTATTCATTTCTAATAAAGTAAAGCTACATAAGGTAACTAGGCTATTCCAAGTTTTCAAAATAACCCTTGCCGTCAGGCTAACCGTGGGAGGTTCTCGTGGTCTTCATCTCCATGTAAAGCAAATGCTGGTTACTTCCTTCAAAAAGCCCTCCATGAAGGCAAATTTCTCATGGAGGACTTTGCGACTCGACAGATTCAACGTGCATCAGTCACCATTTTACTACACGAGGAGTTTTTAAGTTATGAAATTGGACAACAGAAACATTTCTTTATATTAACATGGCTTTTTTTAACCGACAGATTCGGCTTCCTGAGCCCTTATGGCTCAGGGAATAGAGGATTCGCCTTCCAATGAGCTGAACAGTGTTCGAGTACCAGCGAAGGTTGGTCAATGCAAATTCCGCATCCGTCTTGCACCGACCACAGTGCTGACGTAAAATATCCTCAGTGGTAGACGGATCATGGGTTAGAGTCTCTTTGCTTTCAGACTAACCGGGTTAGATTTTCGTGGTTTCCCTCTGCATGTAACGCAAATGCCATCAAAAAGTCTTTCATGAAGGCAAATTTCTCCTAATACGCGATCCAGGAGTTCCCTTGTCTTCTGGATTGGGTTCAAAATTGCAAGATTACGCAGCTGAGCATAATCAGTCGAAAACCCAAAAATTGGGTCGGCTGTTCAACGACGGTTATAAAAGTTATAAAAAAGTTTTCAAAATACCAAAAGGCAAACAAATTATTTCTGGATTTCGCAAAAGGGAAGATTAATCTTGCAATAATTTTTTTTTTCGAAATACATTTGAATCCTTTTAAAAATGCTCAAAGTACCAAAAGGCAAGCAAATTATTGCAGGATTACACAGAGGGGAAGAGCAATCCTGCAATAATTTGTTTGCATTTTGATATTTTGCAAATATTTTATTTAGCAATTGAAACTTCATGGTTTGATCAAAGTTTTCCTTAACTCACTTTTTTCTAAACTTTAAATTCTAAAATTTCAATGGAGATAAAACAGAATTTTCTAAGAGAAGTTTATGCTATAGTATAGCGTCCTTTTATGTGGTAGTTAAAACATAGAAACTTTTGTGCTATACTTCCGGTAATTGATGTTGAGCTTATGCTTTCTGTATTTATTAATTTAATAAAAATTAAGATAAATATAGCAATCATTTATTTTATTTCAGTGTGTTCAAGCAATCCTCGGCGGATGACCATTTACGGAGGCTACCAGCAACAACGAAATACCCAGAAGACGAGGACAAAATGATTCAGATAATGAAAACATTTTAAAGGAACATTTTGGAATTCTCAAGTATGAAATGTAACCTGAAAGCGAGCGCTTTTGTTCTTTCAATTACTAAAATTTTTAGTACCATGCAATACATCAATACTCTGAATCTGTGCCTTCAATTAATTTAGTTAGACCACCATAAAATAACCTAATTAGTTTGATTAGCAACTGTATGAATGATAAGTTAGGGAAAGTAATTTAATAATTAGCTTCAAAAACTTCATGGAACTAAAATTTTCTAGATGATATTTTGCTTTTGTACTGAGGTGATTTTTTCAAGAAAGCAAGGGTTTAATTCTGTGACGCAAACAAATTAAAATATGTTAAAAATAAATTATTGTATTTCAGCTTATATTCAGTGATATTTTATTACGTCATTTCACTAGTTTTTGCACTCCGTCCTAAAAAAATGTTTTCGTGGTTTTAATTTTTTTTATGTGTATTTCACTTTCCAAAACATGCTTGTTAAGGAACAATATAAAAAATTTTAAACACATACGACAGAGTTATTACATTGAGTGTTATTTTGTAAGTACATGCTACAATTGTTTGAAGCAATATTAAAATTGGCCAGTGGTCAGTTGAAGCATTTTTAACCGTGGCCACTTTTTAAAACATGTGATCTGTTTTCAAAAAATTGAAAATTATAAGCGATTTTTTTTTAAAAAAACTGTTGATAGTAATAATGGAATATGGTAAACTCTACGAAGTTCATTTCTAAAAGGAAAAAATATGTAAATAAATTAATTTTAAAAATATTTTAAATATTCATAACAGTTCCACGACTATTAATAATTATAATGAAATGTGTATTTTCGACGAAGAAAAGTGGCAATTGGTAGAGGCAATGTTTTAATTGCCATGTAGCCGGACGTCATAGTTAACTAATACATAAAATGTCGCAAAAACACATTAAATTTATTTTTAATGTCTATTTAAATGTTTTTTAACTAGATTTTTTTTTAAATGTATATACGTGGTGTTCTATTTTGTCCTACACTTAATATATAGTTTTAAAATTGTTGTCGAAAATGGAGAAGACACAATAGGGCTCGCAACTTAATATTTAGGCAAAAAGCAATAACGCTATCGAAATATGATGGATCATTATTGTGGAAGCAGGTTTAAAAATGTTAACGCATGTTAAATTACAATAAAAAGAAAATGATTAACATTTTCAATTGCTATGAAGGAATCAAATTTATTTTGATCATTTTTGCCCCGTCTTCCTCAGTAGTGATTCGTCAGATTTTGCGAAAGTATTTTGTTCTTCCTCGCTTTAATATTAATTTGTGAGACCTAGTGCTTCTACACATCTCTTAACTCATTTTTTACAAGGATACTAAAAATATATATTACGGAAGGTTATTATGGAACACTTCGCATGTATAACACTCATTTTAAAACAGTGTAAATTACTATAATTTATCGATATTATCCTAAATATTACTGTTTAACTTATTGGAGTTCATATCCTGAGATTATGAAATTGTTTGAACTCAAAATAGTTCATGTTTTTCTTTCTGATGAAGCAAAAGCGTGAAAGTAATAATAATACAAACTAAAAGCAATAAAAACGAAAACAATGAAATAAACTGAGCAAGATTTTTACAGTCATTTATTTCTTTAAGTAAAACTGATTTCCTAATGACTTTATTGTGTGTCATTTTTTTTCCCAACAGTTAATTTTTAAGAACTGCACGAACTATTTAAGTTATCGATTGACTACTTTTACATTACATTGATCAACTTCACTAAATCGATTGCGAACTGCTGAGAATGACTGGTGCAAGTGAAAGAGTTGTATAAAAACAAAAAAAATATCAATAAAATATATTTTACATTTTAAATAATTTTGTAAACAAATATTTTACTCAAAAAATAATATATTATTGAATTAACACAAAGCAATAAGTATTTGCGTATTTTCGAACTTGTAAATATATTTATAAAATGCAACTTTGAAACAGTTCAATCAAGAGTGTAAGAAAATAGTAAAAAAAAATTTAAAAAAATTTTAGATTAAAAATATTTGTTTCTTACAAAATGTCTACTTGAGTCTGACTAATGCCTACTTGAGTCACCCTTTTAACTTTAAAATGCTTCAGTAATAGTCATAAAAGTGGTGTCTAGGTATAGTAAAGTGGCTAATCATGAAATCNAAAAAAAAAAAAAAAAAAAAAAAAAAAAAAACAAAAAAAAAATGGTGCAGTTTCACGCATAGAACCTGATCGGAAACGGTGATGTTCGTGTTTCTACTTATAAAACGTTACGAGATAGAAAAAAAACGAAAAGTAGTTTACCCATCATTGTTTCAGATTGATTAGTTGTAGAATATCATTAATTATGCTCTTTCTAATTAGAATAAATGTCTTGAGGTTACACATTTTCCTCACTGTCCACACTTTTATTCTGTTCGTTACCTTAGTTTTCAGCAAATTTTGCTTTTTCTCCACACAAGCTTATTCTTAATTCAAGCTTATATATAAATTCTTACTGAAACGTATAGCTGTGAGAAAAAAGCAAGACCCAAACTATGGTAACGGTAAGGGGAAAATTGTGGAGAGTGGGTTAATCTTGCAACTTTGAGATTCCTATTCGATTGACAAAACGTATAGTTTGTATTGTTACTAAACAAATAGTGCTCAACAACTGTGCTATTTATTTTTTTCTCCTATCTGGAATTATTTTCGAGATTAGAACATCGACTCCGTAGAATTCCGCCAGGACGTGCTGTAAAGGTTTCAACCTTGTATCACAGATAGCCTCTTTATATCTATATAAGATAGACGTCACTTTCATAGCTATAGCTGCTACTATTTTACAGCTAATAGGGAGGTTTTGTACTTTGGTGTATTTATAAAATAATAAAAAAAAAAGCTTTTAAGTTATATATTTTTAAAAACGAGTATTTTAGAGAGAAATTAATATTTTTTGGATTTATGCTGTAGACTTCGTTGCTTTTCCGAGTAAAGTAAACATTTAAATGTTAAGTATAAATGTTGATATATGATGATTAAAATTTAATGCTTGTTGATAATATTTACTAGATTGTGAAACGCTCCTATATGATAGAGTATTTAAATATTGGTAGAGTTATTATTATAAAGATGAGTGAAACTAGTCACGTGTTAGCGTTGTGAAGTATATGCATATGTTGACTGATAGAAACAGTTTATATAAGAGTTTAATACAAACGTGTATTTAAAACGCTAAAAGATTTTCACTATTAAACAAATCACGTTTAGTGTTGTTTTTTTTATATATTTTGACAACAGAAATAAACCTGTGTGAAAAAGTCGTTAAGGAGCCTCTGTATTTATTAACATACTAACACTTTTCGTGAAATGAAATTTTGATGAGCACACTCGAAAAACTCAATTTTTTTATTAATATTTATTTAAATTTTTTCGTAAACATACGAATTTTGATTCATGCACTTTTTCGTCAACACGAAGTTTTGATTCATGGTAGGAAATATTTTTGTAAACGTATGAAATTTTCATACTGGAACTTTTTGTAAACACATGAAATTTATTTCAACAACAAACTGTTATATCTTTTAAGAGAGCAAAGCTCTTAGGTTATTTTCTCCTAAATCTACACATATTTACTATTGGTTTATTTTACTATTTCATTTTTTAGTACGTAGAATACACAAGTTATTATTGTTTTATGTAACCTAAAAATATAAATTTATTATTATGGTTTTCGCTGGTGTGCATGCATTTCTCTTAAATTCTTTTTTTTAAATGATTTTAAAATATTTTTCTCATACAAAGTACATTTCAGTCTAAGTATTCTAACAATTTCTGATCGAAATTTAACTTTAAATGTACTTTTATTAGAATATTTGCACAAAAAACATTAAAAATTTTTTTCAACAAGATTCATAATATTGTGTGCAAAACATTACAAATTTTTTGTAATGTTTTGCACACAGCAATTCAAAAGCGCAAATTCAAAACTAACGCAAATAATAAAATAATAATTTTATAAAAAAAAGCCTATCTCGGTCTTATTTGTTTTGTTAAAAAATTTTGCCTAATAAAAGTTTATATAGTTATGTTATGAGGCCCCTTAAATGACTTTAAATTAACTTCTACAATGTATAGTTAAGAAATATTTTTTTAAATAATTTTAAGGACTGTATTATGGAAAAATGCTTTGAAAATATTATTTTTTCTGACAAAAGCGTTTATATAGTTGCCAAGTTCTTCCCAATACACTAAGTTTGCTAAATGCGTTTGCCCTGTTGCTAACATCTTAGCTATATATCAAGTTTACATTAGATCTGAGTTCTCTTTGTTAAACACCCAGGTTTATAGAATTTCTTTAAAACTAACATATAAGATATTGATATTGAGTAATTTTTCTTAAATCGTTCTCTTTAAACTCTGGCCAAAAATTTAAGCTCAATCTGTCATCTTTTATTTTTGATTGATGAGACTAACATTAATAAGTTTCTCATTATAAGAGGGTGAAGTAGAAAAGGATAACCTAATGAAGGTGGATAAAAGTTAGAATGTATATAAACTGTTGCAAGTTAAAAAAAAAAGGACCATTTGCGATACGGGATTTAAGTAATCGTCCGCGACTGCATATAGTTCCGTTTTATTTCGTTATCAAACTACACAGATATGCCTTCAAAATAATATAACAGCTTTTAAAAGTTAAACACATCAGATAGAAATTAAATTCATGCTATTTTTTACGATATATATCATAGAATTATTAAAAAAAGATTATACTTTCATAATTTTACTGGAATTCTAGACTAGGCGACATATTTCTATAAACAACGACTAGTTAGCTCTTGAAAAAGAAACAACTATATGACGTTGCAAGAGCATTGTATTTGATTGGACCACTGAAAATGACGTGTCTTTATGCTGACATGATCTTACGAATCAAATGCGAAAAAATGAATTCTTACATTTGCTTACCTGTAAAGGAAAATCGTCTGCAAGAAACGACATTTATTATTATTCCATTTGTTTCTTTAAATGCGAGCAGAAAGGCGTGTATTTGTTACGATTTGTTATTGCGATGCTGATATACATTCGCGCTGGGAGCCTGACATCCATTTGGCGAGCACTTAGATGCAAACAGACTCTTTCCATAGGAGTAATGGTTTTTTCTTAACTTGCAACAGAGTATAGATTAAAATTTGAATAGATTAAAGTATTAAATTCAAAGGTAAGCAATTTTGCAAATGCATTTATTAATGATATTGTTCAATAATGTGTGGTCAGAGAATTGCATCATAAGTGTGTATCACTTGAATATTTCATTTCTTGTGTGTTTTTTCCTGTAGATATCCTTTTGTAGATATTTGTTTTCATAGATAAACCTTCTTAAAATGCTGTAAATATTGATATATTTTTGACTATATGAAATCAAATCGAAATGAATGCTGTGAAGTTTTGATAAATGTTTTTTGAAATTCCTTCAATCAATAATATTAAATTATAAAAATAAATAGGAATAAAATAAACTGTTTTCAGTAAAAAATTTATTGATCAAAAATTAAGTTATATTTTATATATATATAGTCTGTTAATTGTCTTAATAGTATAAAGAAATCACAGATCATTTAGTAAATCGCCTTAACTACTTAATTATTTACTTTATGTTTTTAAAAGATTCAATTTGAAGAGATCAACTATCAACGTGGTTGTAATATTTTGATTCTAAAAAGAAATAAGTTGACGGTATTTTTTTCTTTCAAAATATCTCTTCTGGTTTAGAGACGTTTTCAAAATTTTTAAAGGAATAACATTAAAAATAAGTTAAAGAATAGTAATAGTATGTTTTTTATTTTCTTACTCACAAAACTTACAGTCTTACATAAACAAAAACTTTTAATTTTAATTAAACAAAACATATACAGTTTTTATCATTATTATTTTTAAAGCAGATACATAAATTATAAAAAGTATATAAATTTCAAAATATTAAAAAATTAAACGCAATTTTGAAATAAAATATAATAAACTGAGTTTATAAATTTAATTAATTTGAATAAGTGAAGACAATGATAATTGAAACTCAATTTCATGCTACTTTTCTAAATTTTATGAAATAAACTGCGCAATCTTGAAATGCTAATTTAAATTTTTCGTATGAATAACGTAATTTTTTAAAAAAAGTATCAATTTTATGAGAATACATTTTATAATTTGATAGTTCGTTTAGATGTGAAAAAAATTTCAATCGGTAGAAGACACAAATTTTATGAGGATACATTTTTTTAATTCGAAATCGATTAAAAGTCATGAAAGATTGTCATAGCTTTATAACTCGTTTAGGTTTTGAAGACTTTAATTAATATAAGATAAAAAGTTACGACACACTGGCTAAGAGCTTTTTATTCTAAATGTTTTAGATAAACTCAATATTTATCTGTAAATATAAATATATTTATTTTATCCGGGTTCTAATTCAACAGTGCCGGATGGTTCCCAAACGAAGCTATCTATTAATAATATTGTATTTTTATGGATGCAAATTACTGCGCAAGTTGATATATTAATTTATATTTGTTCATCTGATATCGAAGAGATTATTTGTTCTCAAGAGACATTTTTAATGCACATCTATGTGTGTTACTGTATAAATAATTTATGTATTATTGTTAAATAAATGTATAAATTTTATGATCTAATTTGTGCATATTTTTTTTCAATTATTGTGCATACCGAAAATATCTCAACACCAAAAATTGGCGATTGAAATGGGCTACAGGTGGCTTAGTGTAAAACTCTCTACCTATATTGCAACAATTCCCCATTAGCGTGTGGAGAGTCATAGGAGTTGGAAGTATGTTAGTTTCTGTCTTGATTTTTAAATAGATTAAAAACTTTTTAAGTTAGGAAACTATATGGAATTAAAAATTACATAGTTCTTAAATAAAACTTCGAAGAAATTTTGAAAAAAAAAAATTTTTGAGAAGTAAAGGGGAAAAATATTGAGAAATGCGAAAATATCGTAGTACATTCCTATACAACTGAGAAGCGGAGGAAAGAGAAGGGGGGAGGGTCAAGACATGGAACTGGTCTTCTCCCCAGATGGCGCTTACGAGCGTTGTGATAGTGAATGGTGGCAATTACTTTATGGAGTGAAATGTAACTCCTGGTATCTTTACTAA